ACCTGATGCTGCTCAATTCAGAGAAATGAAGAAGCATATGACCCCCACACAACAAGAGAATCTCATTCTAGATAAAGATGGGCTGATAATCATAAACCATGGTGGCTCAATGCAAGAGGCAGAAGATTGGTGGCGGATGAAAGTGATCCCTGGCAAGGACCTATCAGAAGCCATCAGAAACTATCTAGATTGCCAGCTTGAACCTGCCTGGTCAGAATATCAGAATCCCAGGAATCTTGCAACAATCAGAGCTAAGGTCAATGCTGATCTGAAGGAAATTGAAGCAAAGGAAGCTGATCTAGAAGAGGAAGACTTCTAAACTCTATCCTCTTGTTGCTTTAAATATATTTCATTAATAAGATAACCAGCTTGCCTCTAATTTGCATGGCAATTTCAAATTATTTCTCTATTGCATTCTGATTATTTATGCTCTGATACCTTGTGCTATTTCTTACCTTATTTATCTGTTTGATTGTATCTTACTCTTACTATCTTCCTATGCCAAGTGCCCACCAAGATTTTAAATGAAAATTTATTTTTAACTTATTTTCTTTATGGTGAAAGGCACTTCTCTGGAAATAGTTTAAGGGTTTTGGCATCATCAAAAAGGGGGAAATTGTAAGGAATAAATGTAATTAGATTTTGATGATGCTATAGGATTAGAAAGTTAGAGTACCCCCAAATTAGATTTTATGTATTAGAATTTTCAATTGTAAGTATTAGTGTAGTCGACGTTCAGAGTTGCTCTATTTTGGATCAGATCAGAAGTGCATCAGAACTGCTCGACCAGACTTGCTCTATGAGAACTGCTCCATCAGAGTTCTCTTAGCAGAAGTCCATCAGAGTTGCATCATAAGAGTTGCTGATAAACCTGGACATCTGATAGCCGATGAGAACTACAGATCAGAAGTACTCATCAGCGGACCTATCAGAGTCAGAGTCAGAGTTCAGTCAGAGATCAGAAGACCATCAGAACTCAACTCGTCAGAAAGTCATCAGAATCCAACATATCAGAAGAGCCTGATCAGAGCACGACGAACACTTAGAAAAATTTCGAGCAACATCCAACAGCTATGAATTCAACGGGTAAAAACATCCAACGGCTACAAGACTGTGCATGAAAGGAAAGCATTTAATGCACATTAAATGAGCCTGATACGCTGAAGGATTGATTGCAAATAATTGACCAAGAAATCCGGGAAGATATATTATAAAAATAGAAACCTTCCAAAACGGCGGTCAAGTCAATTGTACGCGCATTTAATGCAGTTGTCTCCTCCTCCAACGGGCAGACAACCTCAGTATATAAGCTACACACCGAAGATCAGGAAAATAACTTTGCTACAACTCTTGAAAATCATCATTCAAGCTCTCTTGAGATTCAAACTCTACAACCTTCAACAAGACAAGCTTACGTTGGGAAGATTCAAACTCCAAATCTCTCATCCCCAACAAACAAGCAAAGTTCATCCTGTTCTTCAACTCTTCAAGAACTTCATCAAACATCATTTGTGACGAAGCAAGTTGGAGGAAAAACTCTGTTTTTCAAAGGATCTTCTGAAAAGAAGGGCGTCCAAGTAACTGCAGTAGTGAAGTGGTGATACTTCCGGGAAGCTGAGTGAAAGGATCAGCCATCAGGACGTGGAACTGCATCCTGGGTGGCAGCTAGACTTGAAGAAGGCGTGGAGAACTTCTTAAGTGCTAGGATTTAGCTTTGTAACCGATCTACTTCAAAGCTAGTGGAACAGTGGACTAGAGGAACGTGTTGTTCCTTGAACCACTATAAAATATCCGGTGTCATTTACTTTACTGCAATTTATATTTCTGCACTTAGGATATTAACTGATTAACTCTAAGACTTGGAATCTGTGTTCAGCAGATCTTGTTCCCAGAGTTATCAGAAAGGCATCTGCCTTAGTGTTTCTGAGGCTACCCGGACAGATCAGAATCCGCTGCCAAGGCCAGTTCTGATATCAGAACCAGCCTTTCTCTGTCACCAGAATCAGACCTTCTCTGATAAGTCATTTTGGACTTAGAGAAAATTTGAAAAATCAATCAGTCTATTCACCCCCCCCCTCTAGACTGATTACCATATTAAACGGGACCAACACTTATAATCGTCTATTTGTAATAATTGACTTGAGTTAAATTGAGCACGCATGACCCTATCCTCTTTACCCCCTTGTGCATAGTGCATTTTTTGTCATCGAGGGCGATGCCAAAGTTTAAGTGTTGGGGAGTGAATTGGGCATTCGGGCAGTAGTTGTTACATGTGATTATTAGAGTTAGCATGCACAAGTGTGAGTTGTATATTCATAGAAAAGTAACTCCCAATTCATGCATGCATTGGGCCGCCGCCGCCACCACCGCTGCTGGTGCTACTGCTGTGGTGGTGGTCGTGGTGGTGGTGCTGTTGTTGTTGGTGCTGTTGTTGTTGGTGTTGTTGTTGTCGTCGTTGTAGTTAGTCCTTTGTTGTTGTCGTCATCGTCGTCGTCGTTATTGTGGTCGTTGTTGTTGATGTTGTTGCTGTGAATTTTGTTGTTGCTGTTGTTGTTGTTGTCGTCAATTTTGTTGTTATTGTCGTGAATTTTGTTATTGTTGTTTTTGTGAATTTTGTTGTGAATTTTATTGTTCTTGTTGTGAATCTTGTTGTCGTTGTTGTCGTTGTTGTCGTTGTCATTGTGGTTATTGTTGTTATTGCTGCTGTTGTTGTTGTGAATTTTGTTGTTGTTTTTTTGAATTTTGTAGTTTTTCCTTTGTAGTTATGTACTCATTACTTATTAATGTACTTATAGTTTGGTGGTCTAAAATGAACAAGAACAATCCTAACTATGAGTGATTGGTCTAAATAATTCAAAGTATCAATCATGTCAAATTAATACCAATTATTGAATATAATACCAACTATTGAATAAAATTCTAAAAATGTTCATTAACTTCAATTTACCTGTAACACTACTTCCTCCGTCCCGCTATTAACTTCCTGCTTTCCTTTTTGGACCGTCCCAAAATCATCTTCTCATTTCCCTAAATGGAAAGTTATCCTACATCAAAACAGTGTCAAACAGTACGTGCAAAACAGTGCCAAACAGTGTCTAAACAGTAGGGTCAAATTTATTTACTAACTATGTGTGTAGGTCAAAGTAGGAAGTTAATAGCGGGACGGGGAGAGTATAAGTTATTATGGATTATTATAAGTGACCGAAGCATTTTGAGAATTTAATTGAATAAATAAGATTATTATGAGATAATGCATACCTTGAATTATTATGAGATAATTCATACCTTGAATTATTTAGAACAAATCACTCATAATTGATTATCTTCTCCATTTTTTTCAAATTTGTATAAGAATTACGGCATTTAAGTGCCACAGACCCCACATTACTACCCTAGCGAACGAGCGCTGAGGGATTTTCTTTCGCCGGCTCGTGAGGCGCGGCGCGGCGGGCTTCAGGAGATCGAGATGCAGTCTGGGCGAGACGTGGTTGCTGGTAAGGAAGGGCAGAGGGACGGCGTGGATGATGGCTATCGCAGGGAAGACGGCGGGCGGTGGGAAGGAGGAAGCCAGGCGGACGAACAAGTTGGAAGGCTCATCGATAAATATGACAATCTGGGACTCGGCGGGATGGATGAAGTGCTGCTGATTGAGGACGAGGAAGAGGGGACAGCAACGGCAGGGGAAGGAAAGAAGGAGTATCCGGTGGTCGGAGTGGTTCTCACGGATAAAACTATCCCTTTCACCTTCTTTCGGAAGTTTATGGCTGATTTGTGGCACCCGGGTAGGGGAATTACCATACAAGAACTTGGCGAAAGGAGGTATCTGTTTAAGTTTTTTCATATTGTTGATATGAATAGAGTTCTTGAAAATGGGCCATGGTTATTTGATCAAAATTTGATTGTGCTGAAAGCGGTTGAGCCGGGAGATATCCCGATTAAAATGATACTTGATAAATTTGAGATCTGGGTACAGGTTCATAATGTGCCATATGATTTTGAGAATTTGGGAACTGCTAGGAGGATAGGCAATTATCTGGGGGAATTTATCTCTTGGGATGAACAAAAGTTTAGTAATAAGAAGGAGACTTATATGCGGGTAAGGGTTCGGATGAATACGGGCAAACCTTTGCGCATCGGGACCACATTGAAGAAGAGTAAGGGAGATGGATATTGGGTAGATTTTAAGTATGAAAAATTGCCAAATTTCTGTTTCTGCTGTGGTATGATTGGGCATGCAGAAAAATTTTGTCCCTTGGTATACGAGGAGGGAGAGGAAGCCAAGACCAAACCTTTTGGGCCGTGGCTTAGGGCGCGCGGAGGAAAAGCGAAACAAGCTCTGAGCAGTAAATGGCTGATTATGGAAGAAAGTTCATCTGGTGGAAACAAACACTTGTCAAACATGATGAGTTCAAGTCTGGAGATGGTCTCGAATGAGAGGATGGAGAGCTCTAAGGATGGGGTGGGAAAGTTTTCATTTCCAGGAAAGCTTGAGGAGGCAGGTCTGGTAGGTGAGCTGAAGAGGAGACGTATGTGGGAGGATCAGGCACGTGAGGCTGCTGACAAGGAGGATATGGCTCTGGATATCCCAAAAAACGGGGAGGAGGCGGGAGCTGGTCTACAGTCCCGCCAGAAGATCTGATGTTGAGTTCATTTGTGCTGGGTGCTGTTTTTTCTTATTTTAGTTATCTTGCTTTACTTATTTTCCACGTTTCGGATGTTGCTTTTGTTTTGACTATGCTGTGTTTTTCCAGCAAGAATACTTTGGAAACTAAATTAGGTACTGAGGTGGCATGTCTACAAGTCATAGGCTTTTGTAAGCCCAAAGCGGGATCAGCGAATTATATGGCTTCTACGGAGGTGATTAATTCAGAGTCTGATCCTTGGGCTGACGGTAGACAGGAGACTTGTTGTCATCCCGTTATCTCGTTTAGTTTGATCGTTTTGGTCCGTTTTGCTATAATATACTAAGCCGGTTTCGGTCAAAAAAAAAAAAAAAAAGTGCCACAGACCCCACAGTACATGCAGCAGCAGCCACCTACGGAGTACCCCGTATAATATTCTGATTCGCATTAGGTCGAATAACATCTCTGCCCTCGTCCTCCTCTCATCCACTGCTCGCAGTTCTACGAGAACCAAGGCGAGTCCATCGCAGGTATCCTTCCTCTCGACCACCCGCTCTCTCCAAACTTCATATGATCGGCTATGTGTAGTTTTATGCGTTCAAATTCGGATTTCCATTTGAGCCTCCATTTGAGCCTCCCCACTGTCTTTTTATACGCTTTTTAGCTTGCTTTTCTTCTGGATCTATGAGGATTTAGTGTTTTTTTTAGTCCGATGGGCTTCTTATTGAGGTACGCTTCGTTTCACGGTGGCAAATATGTGATTGGATCTGTAGATCTACCGCGAATCAGATTCTGCTGGATTGGATCAGTTTGCATGGGTTTAAATTGCGTGGTATCATGCTTCGTTCTTGTAGTTTGCATAGTTCGATTTGGGGTTCCAGTATTCCAGAAATGATGTCGGTTCATTTCTGTTTGATATATGTCCTTTCTTTTCGTTTCTTCAGTTCTATGTGACACTTATTCATATCTGCTCAGTTTGATTTTCAACATTCACGTCAAGTTGACTGATCATTTGAACTATTCATTTTTTATGTAATGTGTCTCAATATGAAGTATTTGGCATCCAATCATAGGTTTGTTATGCTTGTTGCTTGCTGAACATGCATTACTTTTCATGAAGTTTTACTTATTCATGTAATCACAGCATTGTATGTGATCATTTTTTCAAAGTTGTTTTCCCAACTATGTGCTGGTCTTTTATTAAAAAACTACACATCTATTTTGAGTTATTAACCCATGCATCTTTGCAGAGGATATTGCGTTGAAAGAGAATGGCTGAAATGCATCAATATCCCACTGTTTCCCAGAAGCTAGCTTACCAGCTCCATTTTAGCTCAAATACTTATCAAGATCGTCAAGCCCTTTGTGGTGGCATGCAAAGCCCTGTTCTCAATCAGAGGCGTTTAGCCTATGGAAACCATAGCACTAATAGATTTCAGTACTCAATGAGTCCGCCATGCAAAACAACCCAAGATCTGTCATTAATCACTTCAAATGCTTCTCCAGTGTTTGTTCAGGCTCCCGCTGAAAAGGGATTCACTAGCTTTGCTATTGATTTCCTCATGGGTGGAGTTTCGGCTGCTGTGTCAAAGACCGCTGCCGCACCAATCGAGCGAGTGAAGCTTTTGATTCAAAACCAGGATGAGATGATTAAGTCTGGAAGACTGTCTGAACCTTACAAGGGGATTGGTGAATGTTTCAGTCGAACTATTAAGGATGAAGGGTTTGCCTCACTGTGGAGAGGGAACACTGCGAATGTCATCCGTTACTTCCCCACTCAGGTATCACTTACTATTTTTCTAAATTAGGTAAAATGTCACTTTGGTCCCTCAATTATAGGGTAATAGTGGATTTAGTCCCTTGATTATCAGCTTCCCCACTTTACTGTCTTTGGATGGTTTTAGTAAGCTTGTCTTTTAATACTTTATTAGAAGAAGTCATTATCTTGTACTCTCTCGGTCCCACCTTCCGAGATTGATTTGCAGAAAAACGGTTTACAAGGTTGAATAAGCAGTTAATTTTTTCCCAACAATTTTTAAATTAGATACATTTAGAAACTAGATTTAAGATTCTATTGAATCTTAAAAACCAAATTGAAAAGTGGTTACAAACTCAAAATAAAGGATAAAATGAAATTATGTTGACCAAGAAGAGTAAAACTAACCATTTTGGGACGGTGGATGGAAGTAATTAAATCTGGTTTTTAAAGATGCAAAATATATTGCATAAGTTTGCAACCAATTAAAGATGAAATAATCAAGAAATAGAAATAATACATTTGTAAAAAAAAATAGAGCAAAAATTTATAACTTTTTTGACTGGTGAATGTATTATTCATTGTGAATTGCTATCATATTTCCATCTTTAATCCCATCCAAGGTAGTCAAAGCCGTGAGGTGCACTCAAGGCGCTGGAGTACACAAATTGCCCGAGGTGTAAGGTGCAGAAAAAGTGCTTGCCTGACTCATGTCAAGCGCACCACCTATATACTATAAAATATATAGCATAGTTATAATTTTAAAATATAAAACTAGTCAAAAATAGAAACAAACAAAACTAAAAGAAACTTGTTAGTTGTTAGAAGATAAAGTATAAAACAGAAGAAAAAATGATAGAAAACAGAAAGAAAAAAGATGAAGATAATAGACTTTTCAATACAACTACATCCAAGCCTCATTCCCAAAAAAATTTGGGGTCCGCTAACATGAATCGATTCATGATATCAGAGCAAAAAAGAGAAGAAAGATAAGAAAAATAAAAGATAAGGTAAGATATACTATAAGAACAAAAAATAGATAAAAGAGAAAAGAAATAAAGAACATAAGAAAAATAAAACATGAAAATAACATAAGAACAAAGAATGATAAATAAAATAAAAGATTAAAGAATGAAAGAGAAAAGGAAGAACATAGATCAATCGTCCGCACGTATGTGCGCCCTCCACTTTGCTCTGTCCAATGTCATACTCTCATCCAATCCCAGAAGAAACATATCAGTTCTGATTTCTCTAATCCAAGTCTGTTTGGGTCTTCCCCTCGTACTCGTCTGTCTCCCCAACTCTCAACTCGTCTAATAGGTGCATCCTTTGGTCTTCTACGCACATGACCAAACCACCACAATCATGACTCTTGCATTTTATCTTCTATAGGTGCTACTCCCACCGCACTAGGCTTTTAAATGATGAGATAAAAATAAAGAAGATATATATTTTACATTCAAAAGGCAAAAAAAAAAAATAGAAAAAATAATTACCTTGTGCATGGTGTGCAGGTTGTGGGTTGAACACAGGAAAAATGAAAACCATCTAAGTTTCCATAGACTCCTTAATACACCGACTAAGAAGGGTTTTAACATGGTTTAAGTTGTTATCCCCTATTTGTTGAATAGGCTATACCTAATTATTGATATGGGTTTATTTAAAATAGGCCCAAATCTTATTTCTTTTAAATATAACTTCAGAACCCTTCAGGCGTATCAGCCGTGCGCTTCTGCGCTTATATTGCGCCGCACTCAGTCAGCCTCGCCGGCACTGCACCTCTACAGCGCCTTGCCCGGTGTGCTTAAGTGCCCAGGCGCACGCAGGCGCACGCTTTTGACTACACTGGTTCCATCAACCATATTTATTTCAAATGAAAATTTATCTCTTTTACCCACTTGAGGAATGAAACAATCAGACAAAAGGTGGGTGTAGTACATATAGAAGATAAGATTCAAGAGTCTCAATTGCGGTGGTTTGATCATGTGTGTTGAAGACCGAGTGATGCACTTGTAAGGCGAGTTGAGAGGTGAGGAGAAGATGCGGGAAGGAGGAGAGGAAAGGGAATATCCAAACAGACGTGGATTAGAGGAATTAGGAGTGATATGCTTCTTCTTGGGTTGGATGAGAGTATTACTTTGGAGAGAGCAAAGTAGAGGGTGAATATTCGTGTGAAGGATTGATCTCTTTTTTCTCTCCTTTTCTTTTTATCTTCTTTATTTTTATTATGTTTTTATGTTATTTTTATCTTTTATCTTTCTTATGTTCTTTTAATTTCTATTTATCATATCCTTTTTATCTTACCTTATCTTTTTTATTTTTCTTATCTTTCTTTTTGGCTCCAAAATCATAGATCGATTTATGTTAGCCGGCCCCAAAAGCTTTTGTAAATAAGGCTTGGATGTTGTGTATCATGTATGTCTTCTGAGTATAACTGTATAACCTATTTCATCAGTTCTCATGAATTTAAAATTAGCCAGCAAACAAAAGATGTAAATACTGTAGTAATTCACAATTAACAAGCTTTATATCCAATGATACAAATTAAATACTCCAATTATAGTATGTTTTAAAGTCAAGTTATTTTTCTATATGAAAATTTTGACATTTTCTCTTCATTTACTCCGGTGAGTTCAGGTAGCTGACCCCAAACTCTTTTGTGATTCAGGCTTGGTTGTTGTTTTTGTTTATTCCTCTCCATTCATATGGATTGATCTTAAAAGTACACAACTAGTTATTTTGAATTCTAAATTTTGTTCATATTTGGTTACATTCTCACACAATTATTATTTTAGTATCCGTAAAAGTTAGAAATATAAACAATTTACATATTACTCTAATTTTCTTCTCATAAAGTACTAAGCTATAAATGTAATGATGATGCATGCTCTAAATGTGGTGATACTTCTAAATTCTAATTGATGAGCTAACCCAGCATCCCTGTCAGTAGGGAGCAAAAGTGAAGTTTTCAAAAAAAAAATATGCAGCTTTCTAAAAAAATTATGTAGTTTTCTTATAAAATTACAGTTTTCTAATACTTTTTGTTCCTTTCATTATAAAGATAATTGAGCTAATGACAGTTTTTGTTCCTTTAGGCCTTGAACTTTGCATTTAAAGATTATTTCAAGAGGCTTTTCAACTTCAAGAAAGACCGTGATGGCTACTGGAAATGGTTTGCCGGAAACCTTGCATCAGGTGGTGCTGCCGGTGCTTCCTCATTACTATTTGTTTACTCCCTGGACTATGCCCGTACCCGTCTGGCAAATGATGCCAAGGCTGCTAAGAAGGGAGGTGAGAGGCAGTTTAATGGTTTGGTTGATGTCTACAAAAAGACACTTGCTTCTGATGGTGTTGCTGGACTTTACCGTGGATTCAACATTTCATGTGTTGGTATCATTGTGTATCGTGGTTTGTACTTTGGATTGTACGACTCGATTAAGCCTGTTGTCTTGACTGGAAAGCTAGAGGTTTGTATTTCTGTTCCGCAATGTGTATTTTTTAAACAATAGGAAGTAGGCTTGTATTTCAAACCTATTTCCCATCGTAATGAGCTCTCTGCTTGTATTTTAGACTTAAAACATCTCAGGCTGTTTGGCAATGGTTAGCTTGCTAAAATAGTTTAACTGATAAGCGATTCAGTAGCTTCATTGCATGTTTGATAAGGGTGTTTAAGGTTAATTTGTGGCTTGATATTGAATTATTGATGAAGTTGCTGAGATTATTGAATTATGTAAAAAAATATTAAAAATTTATTTCATTGATAAGTTGAAGAACAAAAGATGAGATTTGAAATGCAAAACTGGTCAACTTCAACAATTTCATTTCCAGCCAAAATAAATAAATCTAGCCAATTTAGTAGTTATCATGGGGGAAATTGCATACAAACCCCCATTTATTCTTTATTTTAGTAGGATAGGACAAGCTGAATATGGTGACCACACTGAGTCAATATTATTGACATTTCCCATTAACATGTTGGTTGTTACAGGATAGCTTCTTTGCTAGCTTTGCTCTTGGATGGCTCATCACAAATGGTGCTGGTCTTGCATCGTACCCAATTGACACAGTCCGGAGAAGGATGATGATGACATCCGGTGAGGCCGTCAAGTATAAGAGCTCGCTTGATGCATTTTCTCAGATTCTCAAGAATGAAGGTGCCAAATCCCTCTTCAAGGGAGCTGGTGCAAACATCCTCCGTGCCGTTGCTGGTGCTGGTGTGTTGGCCGGTTACGACAAGCTTCAGTTAATTGTTTTTGGAAAGAAGTATGGGTCTGGCGGCGCATAAGTGGTCCACCTCTTTATTTGGCAGCATAGTAGTTTGTTATATGGTGACGAAAAATATCAGTGTCACAGGTTTAGAAGAATTCATTCTGGATTTGAATAATGTGACTTTGAGGGTTTGTCTGAAATAACCAAAACGTTCACTCCACCGCCCTTCTGGTGAGGGATATGGTATTTTATTTTGCAATTTGCGATACTTTTTAGTGCAAAATTTTCTTACTCGTAACTTTATGCTTTTTATTTATTTGGGATTATCAGTTCTGTGCAAGCTATTAATGTTTTTGTTGTTGAAAAAGCGCACTTCATTATTTTTGGGTGGTTGCCTTGTTTTGTTATGCATATTTTTTGGTTTCGGAGCTGGCCACCATGTTATCTGTAAGTTACCGTGTGCATGGTACAGCTGTTTTTAGTCCAGTTGTAAAACCCACCACGGTTCGTCTTGTTCTATCTGTTGCTATTTCCTTAGGCTGGTCAATTCGTTAACTTGATGTTAAGAATGCATTCCTTCATGGTTTTACAGATTTAGTGGTTTCCTATTTACTCATGGTTTTACTCAGAGTAAGTCTGATTCTTCCATGTTTATCTACCGTTCTTAGTTGCATGTTGTATACATTCTTTTGTATGTTGATGACATATTAATCACTGGCTCATCCCTATCTTTCGTTAAGTCTGTTATTCGAACTCTCTCGTCTTAGTTTGCTATGAAAGATTTAGGGGATGTACACTATTCTTTGGGCATTTAGGCTCAACATACACCCTGATAGGGCTGGGTCTGAAAACCGAAAACCAAATCAAATTAAACCGAACCGTTAAAAACCGAAACCGAATGTAAAAAACCGAACCGAACCATAGTAGTTTGATTCAGTTTTGGTTTTTACCCTTCAAAACCGAACCAAACCGAACAAAAATAAATGTGAAATTTTAATTGTTAAATGTAAGCATTAATCTTAATATCATCAATAATCTTTGAATTTCTTGTGTTAAAGAAATAATGTTTGTGCTATGTTTAGTTTAGTATAAATGCATTTACACATTCATTGCCCATAATAATGCAGCTATATTGATCTATTATGTCTTTTATGTATGTATGTTGCAATTTGTTGCATGATTATATGTTTTTACTGGTTATTAGTAGTAATTAAATTTTACTTTTATGTAACTTAATTTTTTTAACTTAAATTTTTTATATTGATAAAACAAATAAATATTCATCTCAGCTATATCACATAGGACGTATGTATTCATGCACTTTTTTCAAACTAGTCACAATCAATGTGAAATAAGAATAGATACACATTTTTATCTCTGCCGCATACTCATATAATTCAAGACATATTTGTTTATTATTATTTTCTTTATTTGTTCAAGTATGCTTGCATTTTTATGTATTATGTTCGATCCCTACAACTTTTATATCAATTTTAAATCAAATGACAAATTTTTAGTAAAAAACTGAAAAAAACCGAAACCGAACCAAAACAAACTGAACCAATCAAACCGTGGTTCCAAGTATGGTTGGACTCGGGCCGGTTCGGGCCTGGGCCCGGCCGGGCCTCGGGCCAGAAAATTGGGGCCCGAGCCCGAACCGCCGGTGGCCGGTTCCGGGCCAAACCGGGCCGGGCCGGGCCGGGCCAAACCGGTCCTTTTTTTTTTTGGTTCTCCTATTTAACCCCCTACCCCTCCCCCTCAACCCCAAACCATCCCAAACCACCTCAAATGGCCCATAATACCTAATCCAACCCAAGACTTAAAAAAATTTCAAAAAAAAAAAATCCGGCCCGGACCGGGCCCGAACCGGCCGGGCCGGTTCGCCTAAAGCAGGGCCCGACCCCGGGCCGGGCCAAACCGAACCGCTGGACCCGCCAGGCCGAGCCAAACAGTAACCGGGCCGGGCCGGTTCCGGGTCAGGCCGCCCGACCCGAGTCCACCCCTAGTTCCAAGTTTTGGAGTGTAAAACTAAACCGAACCGAACTTTAACTTTGATTCCGTATTTGGTTTTAGGTCAAAATCGAACCGAAAAAACCGAACACACCCCTACACCCCGAGGCCTTTTTCTCTCTCAACATAAATATGTCACTGACCTGCTCCACCGTTTTCATCTTCACACTGTTAAACCTGTCCGTACTCCTTTACCTTCTCGCACTACACTCTCTCTTATAGATGGGGAACTCTTAACTGATGCTAGTGAGTATCGCAGCATGGTAGGTGCCGTACATTTGGTTTCTCAGTTTATGCATGCTCCGCGTACCTCTCACCTTTTTGCTGTCAAAAGAATTTATAGATATTTGCAGGGCACAACAACACATGGTCTTTGGCTTCATTCTGATCGACACATTTCTCTTATTGTTGCATATTCTGATGCTGACTGGGCAGGCTGTCCGGATAGTAGTCGCTCCACCACTGGCTACACAATTTTTCTGGGCAATAATCTTATTTCATGGCGTTCCAAAAAACAGCCCACTATTTCCAAATCTTCCACAGAAGCGGAATATTGGGCAATTGCATATATGGACACCATTTTTATTCGCTCCTTACTAGCCGATATGGGCATATTTATTTCTGCTCCAGTTCAGCTCCATTGCGACAATGTCTCTGCATCATATATGACGGTCAATCCTATTCAGCACGATCGTAGTAAACATATCAAGATTGATTATCACTTTGTTCGTGAACGAGTAGCTCATGGGGACCTCATCGTCAAATATGTTCCGACCCAGTATCAGCTTGCAGATATTTTCACTAAAAATTTATCTAGTCAGCGTTTTGAGTTTTTAAGATCCAATCTGCACGTTATTGTCCCCGCACAGATTGGGGGGTGTAATAATCTATATATCTAGGGCATATTTGTAATTCTTGTAAACTGCTATTATTATTTATTATATATATGAGGTCTCCTCTCCAATGGGGCAAGCCACTTTATTCACACAATAGAGATTTGTATAATGAGAGGTCTGATTTGCCCGTTATTGGCTCAAGTAAGCTCATTAGAGGATCAACAAATCTTATTGCTTCTACAAAGGTGATAGATTTTAAGTCTGGTTCGAGGGCAGACGGTAGACAGAAGACTTTTTGTCGTTTTGTATCTTTCTTTCAAAAAAAGAAAGTAAAAGGAGAAATATCAAATGAATCTCTCACGCTCTAATCTTTCTAATAAGCAAATACTCCGTATTTCACATAATGAAGTACAGCGAAGATGGAAAGCACGTACAAGGACCTTACAATCCCTATTGATTGAAGAACATAAAAAGTGTATCTTCTGAAGCACCTTATCCCCACTTCATTACTAGAAAATCCAACTTTTAAAGGCTTTGTGTTTATAGTCACATAAATGAAAAATAATATATAATTAAGTAAAATAATGACGAGATGCTATTTGCATGAAGAACCACCATATAAGCATGCAAAATAAAATAGTTTTATCACAAATACTTGTGTAAAGTGGAAAAGCGAATATTTGACAGTGACGGGGAGGTATTATTTTTATGGCAAACTTAACTTTTGAAAATTCGTACAACAGATAGACCTTTCATCCAACAAGATAATGCTAGACCACAAGATCAAAAATTACACTGGCTATGCAACCAGTTGCGGACCTAGACATTGGGGGTTAGTGTATGTTTTACACATAATACTACTAGCATAGTACTCCCTCTCTACTTTAAACCTATGCCATTTTTGAATTTTTGGTCAACTATATTAAACTTTGATCAATTATAATGTTTTTGAAGAAAATTATTTACAATATAAAAATGATATAAGAATGCATTTTGTCAAAAAAAATCATTAAAGTATAGAATTTATAACTTTAATAAAACTATTCTAATGAAATGCATTATCTAAGGTTTATTATCATTAATTTGAAAAGTCAAATATGACAAGTTTCAAGAGACAAATGTAGCATATGAGAACAATAAAAACTAAATAAAATTTAACATATGTGTAGTAAAAGAAAAATGACCTTAAATACTCACATTTTCTTAAAGTGTTGAATAATTAATTCATCATCAATGCTATTAAATACATGACTTTCTATATACAGAACTAAACAATTATTCATCCAATGTTAAATTAAAAACCTAAAGACCCGAGAAGTGGGTGAAGTCGCCTCCGGAAGACTCACTCTGCTCTTTATACTTTTGAAAGAAGTTGCCAATTAGAGTATTAGGTTTAGAGTTTAGATTGTTTTTTTTTTTCAACTACTCTTGTGTCATATCATAAATTTCAGGATCATTACATCAGTCAAAGGAAAAACAGAACCGACACCAACTAAAATCCAACAACTACGACTGTAAACCCTATGATCAGACTTAGAGACGGTCACCCCTGCAAGAGCAACGCGAATCGCTAACCATGTAGCGGGCTTGACACAGCCATCCCTGTTCCCATAGATCCAAACATACTCAATGACATAGAAAAAAGGTTGAAATTTCAAACAAACTCGCAAATCTAACATAGACGACAACAAGAATCTAGATGACAAAAAAATAATAACTAAAAGGAAGACTCTCACGGACTCTATCACCTCGTACAACCCATAACGGTGGTTCCGGAGGGGGCCGTATACTTGGTATCATTCTAATTGATCCTTCATTGTCAGTCATCATCTGATCTGCTCGAAAGCCGCACAATTCTCCTCGTTCCACTCTCTTAGCAAATCCACCGCCAGCGGTCATCTTCATCGCGGTCATGCCCTTGCTACCCAAACTCATTCTCACCTCCCCCCCCCCCCCAAAAAAAAAAGAGAACCAATCGGATCTGCCACACTGCACACCAACAATCCTTTCCGGAGTCCGAGCGTTTGGAAGACAAAATCCGGCGAAATTGCAAAGCAGCGCAAAACTGTTCGAAAAAGCAACCCCGCGTCGGCCAAAACTTCCAAGACTTGGGAAGGTTTTGAAGAGATTGTACTAGCGATGGACTCAACCGGTTCTGGGCCCGGTCGGGCCAAAAAAAATTCTGCGAGGCCCGGGACCGGCCCGAAAGTAGACCGGTGCCGGTCCGGGCCCGAGCCGGGTCCGGTTATATTTGTTTTTGTTTTCTTGATTATTTTTATCCCCTACTCCCCATCCCACAAACCCATCTGAAAGACCCATTCCAGCCCATTTAAACCCAGCCCAAAGCCCCAAACCAAAAAAAAACAAAAAACAAAATTGAAAGGCCCGAACCGGGCCCGGAACCGGCCGGGCCGGTTCTCATTTACCTAAGCCCGTACCCGACCCGATTACCCACCCCAAACCAGGCTTAGACCCGGAACCGGTACCCGGTTCCCGGGCCGGGTGGCCCGAACTGGGTCCAAGCCTAGATTGTACGCCAACCGAAGAAAAGTAGTCGGCCGAAGCCGCAGGAACCCACACCCTGAGGAGGTCGCCGCCGGAGAAAGAGCTAGGCGTTGCGTGAGGAAACCCTAGAGAGAGACGAGAGCTCCACAAGTTTCGATTTTTTAGAGTTTAGATTGTTTAGTAAATGGGTGATTTTTTTTAATTTATTTATATTTTTAAAATTTAAAGATATTGGACCCCGAAGTCCATCCCATATGGTCTACTTACAATGGAAAGAAATAAAAAATAATTAACAATTCTCCAATGTGTGTCATAAATGTTACTACATATAATTTATCTCGAAGGTTTTGC